CCTAGACACATCACCTCAAGTGATACCGACCAGTTGACCCAGCCAGTAAAAGCACCCACGGATAGGCCTAGACACCGTTGACCTGGGCCAAGTGCCAAGTGGACTGTGGTCCTTTCAGCGGCCAACGGTCAACAGAGCTCCGTGTCTCTCCAAACTTGAACGGTCAATCAATCATGCTTCACCTTGGAAGTTGCGTCAGCCAGGTCGTCACATTGCCACACCATCACCGCGACACGACCACGCAAGCATCTACGCCTCCCGCGTAGCCTACCCGACAAAAATACTTATCTAAGGTGGCTGCCTTGCGCCGATATTAGGATCATGCACAGGGCCTTCTACTTGGTCTAATTGCTTTGATGCTGCCTGGCCACGTTTGCTTCACATCCGTCTCCGGCTCCCATCCCTCGCGGGGCAAGCATTTGTCGACCTCGTCATAGCAGCTACACTCGCTTTCGACAGATATATACGATACCTCTCAATACGGCAGCTTTGTTGGAGATAGTCTCGACATGGCTGGCCACTTTGATTTAAGCTCTCAGGCGCAAGAGGCGAGCCCTTATGCGACGTTGCCAGGCACATCACAAGCTGGCTTTGTGCCGCATAACATGACGCCGATGAAGTCCAACCTGGCGCCTGGTAGAGAAATTGCTGGTATGTTGAATTAGCCTCCATCGTCCATACTATACATGCAACTAATGCTGCGACTGTTGCAGGTTGCAACCCAAGCCGATGGGTTTACGAACTATTAAATAACGACTTCACCGTCTGCGATTTGTTCGAGCGAGCCCGACACGCGAAGCTAGAGAGCACGTATACCTGGGACCATGCCCACAAACTAGTCATGAATGGAAACCAAAGCTTCTCAACAGCTTCGTCCCGCGTATTGTCATCAATATGTCTGGACTGCCACTTTCACTTTGTCTTCAAGATGACCTGGGATGAAGCTCACAGTGATGGCCTGTGCCATCAGAATCAGTCATCATGGCCACTCCGTGATGATCAGTTCCCATGGCACCACTTGGTGTGGGTAGGATCCAGCTCCGACCCAGACGTTGCCCAGGATAACACCAAATATTGCCCTCTGTTGGCTCGAGAATATTTCGTTTGCTCCGCTCCACCTTGTACGTTCCAGCTCACCCTCGAAATATCAGAACCTCGCATGCCGCAGTCTTGGGTGGAGCTTTTATTGGATCGAGAGGCTATTTGCCAGCAGCTGAAGGCAGCAAAGGAACAGGAACCTAGCCGCTATGAAGCTGCCACCGACGAATGGGCCTATCAGGCAACCCTGAATCTAAACACATACCTCAAAAATCTCCTGGAATCCACCCCAGAGGACGCTAGGAGCATATCGAAGAGGAACAAGCGCTTTGCTGTTCTGTTCGGACCCCGATGCTTTGCCATGTTTCGCGAGTTGGAATTCACCGAGAAAGTAGAACTTAGAGACGGTGTTGACGAAGGCTCTTTCACTCCTTCGCCTCCCCCACCTGCGGGCGGTCCCTCGGAAACAACTGAAATAGGCACCTATCGATCATATTTAGAAGATGTACGGGCCGAAGTGCAATGCTTGATACACAAGGCCGGCCAGGCGGCGGAAAAGCCGACAATCATCACGCCAGTTCTACACGCAGATTTAGGATGTAATGAAGTGCCGAATGCTGCTACGAATGCATTAGTCAACGTGGAGCGATACAAGCTGATTGGAGTTCTCCCTAATCAAACCCGAGAAGCGGTAGTCAATGCTTACAAACGCCAATGGGACTTGCTGCCTAGTCGTAGAAGAGCATTGGTGGACAGCATCATGGGCATTGCGAATGATTCCGGAGACGAATTGCTTTCTGATTATGCTATTACTCAATCCTCCGTATTTGATAACCAAACTCATAGACCCGCGACTAATGATGATGACGGCCTGGTGCCACAAGCACTCAATTTCTTGGGTTTGCAACCTCCGAATAATTATAGCGCAGATTCCCTGATTCAAGCATTTAGACAGAAGCTTGCTCGAGATCCGGCAGATGCTACCACTGCACGGTCGATGCTGCTTCTTATCGCCCAAAACTCAAACGATGATATGTATCAAGCTCAACTACTAATGGAAGCTGATGCAAAGATGTCTCTGGAAACGAGCCGGTCAATCCTTGAACTGAAAGCCGTAGAAGTACCCTGGGAGACCACTTATGAAGCTGCTAAAAATAAGGTAAGAGGCTTATATCCATTCCAACCCCTTCCTTCTCTGTTTCCCCCGGTCGCTCCCCCCCTTCTTCTTTTTTTTTTTGAACGGTAGCTGCAGTCGACACACTGTCTATTGCGATGTTTGGCTAATACCGGCCGCAGATCGAGGCAAGCAAGAGCAAGGAAGCCACTCAAGTTTTCCTAGATGCATTAGAAGCAATCGCGGATCATACATACTCTCCAGCACTCAAACAAGCAGCGATGGAGCTCCGACAAGAAAACGGCATATACGGGGTCAAAGCTAAGAGTGAAGACGAGCCGGTCAACTATGCATTGCCTGTCGGATTGCACAACATCGGAAACACCTGCTATTTGAACAGTCTGCTCCAATACCTCTTCACTGTCAAGCCAGTACGAGAAATCGTATTAAACTATGACAATGTTAAACTGGCTCTGGATGATGAAAGTATCAAGGCTCGACTTCTAGGCGGAAACAAAATGCAGATGGACCGTGGTGAGGCGGTCGTCGCGCAAGCCTGTGAGTGACACCTTTTCTTAAGAGTCAGGACGCGATTCAAATGGGAAGCTAATTCGAAAATAGTTGCTAAGGAGCTATCCGAGCTCTTCCAAAATCTGAAGGCTTCAAAACGATCAGCGACAAAACCGTCTCAGCGCCTGGCCAATGCTGTGCTATTGTCGACACACACCCTACTACACAATACCAAGCAGTCATCTGAACCGCCAATCGGACCAAGGCCACCGCCTTTGCCGGCTCGGCCATCGCCAGCACCACCAACTCAGTCCGTGGAGGACGTTGAAATGACTAACGGCAGTGTTGCCAATGCTCTTGAGCCCTCCGAAATGGCCAGCAATTCTAGTTCGAGGACATTGATCGATCAAGAGGATGCCCGTTCCGACCATTCATATGAGAGGGTAGAAACCGTGCATGTCTCTGGCCAAGCAGATGGTGCCACAGAAGTCCTATCTAAGACCGATGACCCTATGGATCAGTCCTCCAAAAGCCCTCCACAACCCACAAAGGCAACAATAACGACTGAAGCCACGAATGATGCGCAGGGGAGTTTTCAAGACGTTGATATGGCCGATGCGGAGATCGAAACCGTAGACCAGAAAGTCTTAAATGCCTTGGAACATCAGAAGAGATCCTCTGGCACCGACCAACAAGATGTTGAGGAAGTCATGGGTAGCATCATTAATCGCCTACAAGCTGCGATTCAACCGACCTCGGTCGACGAGAAGACTGGCATCCAGCTCGAAAAGATTATGGAAACCTTTTTCGTGACAACGGTCAACTACACCAAGAAATTCGACGAAAGGGAATATCAGTCAGAAATCAGCTTTGATCGTTCCATAACTGCATTTCCGGCTCCGGATGGGCCTTGCTCCTTGTATGACGCCCTGGGGCGCAACTTTGATCAACAAATACTAGAGGAGAGCAATCTTTCAAGATATACAGCCATCAAGACTCTGCCTCCTGTGTTACACGTCCTCATTCAACGGTCTCAGTCCATGGGAAGCAAGAACGGCAATGCTGTAGTCATCCCAGAGACGTTATATTTGGACAGATATATGGATGCCCCACATACTTCACCGGTATTCCAACGGCGCGTAGAAGACTGGGCTCTGTCCGATCGCATATCAGACCTGAAGGTTCAAATCTCAAAAGTTGACTCCAACCCGACATATATATCATATTTAGAGAAATACGCAGCCGGAGTCTTAGAAACGGAAGTAGCAGATGGAACTGCAAACGCCGAGTCGGCCGTTGGAGAGGCCCCAGAGATTGTCGCTGCTCCGGAAGAGAATTGGGATTTTGATGGCCCTGTCGATGAGGATTTCCTGCTTGTCACTACGTCAACCTCGACTGGCTCTGAACAACCGATACCTCATGAGCCGAAGCCGTTGAATATTCGTGTGACCGATGCAGCTATTCGTCAAATGATGGAGGCTGAGCTGCAAAAGCGAGAAGAAACCCTCAAAGAACATCAAGAAAGTCTAAAGGGAACACCGTATCGTTTGCATGCTGTTATCTGTCATCGTGGGCACTTGATGTCGGGTCATTACTGGGTATGGATACATGACTTTGAGGAGAACACTTGGAGATGGTACAACGATGCCGACGTGAAGGAGAATAAAAACACTGCGGAGGTCCTGGAGACTCTGAGTACAAGTGGCGAGCCATATTTCCTGTGCTATGTCCGAGATGAAGACAAAGCCGAGTATGTCAATATTCCAAAGCGACAGCCGCCAACACCCCCCTTAGAACTGCAAGAGAGTCCCGCATCAAAGATGGTGACGGATAAGGACGGAGATATTGACGCCGTCGCCGAAGTGGTGGCGCCCGTCATTGAAGGGATCGAACCCCCGGGTGATGAAACAGACCCTGGCTACAAGAAAGGGAACGATGATGCGCAAAGAATGCAGGAATAGCAGACAGTACAAGCCACACTTGCGTTTCAGCTGTGAGGTTGTTTTGTAAGCAGCGCGTTTAGCCCTCTCTGTACACGAAGGATTGTTATGTATGCAGTGTTTCCATTATTCAAATGTTTGATTATGGCAGGCATGGTAGCGGCTACCTCGCACGTCAATTTGGTAAAAATCCAGCTTGGTGGCGATGCGGTATGTAGTTATTAGATATGGCGTCTGGGGTAGACGGCATTCGGACGATGCAAGACGGCCCGAGGCAAAGAATCGTTCGATAGAGAAGAAGTATGGATATGAGAAAAATTCAATCGATAGCCCACGCGTTAGACTGGTTTTCATATTCAATTTCCCTAGTTTGTAGTTTTCAAGCCCTTGATGATTTTTTACCGCCCCTTGAACACAGGCTTTCTCTTCTCCTGGAATGCCTTCAACGCCTCATTCCTATCCTCTGTCGCCACCACCCTCTCATACATCTCATTCTCCTTCTCTTGTCTCGCCCACGCAACGGCCTGCAACCCGGCGCGGATAGCGACTGGTCCACCCTCGCAAATCTCCTGGGCGAGTCTAACTGCCTCTGCTAGGGTAGTCTTACGGGCGGCGGGCAAAATATCCGAAGCATCACGCTCGTCTTGGGGCACCACTTCCACCAGACGATCCGCAATGCCCATAAAGTACGCCTCCGGCGCTGCAACACGGCGGCCCGTGAGGATCAAGTCTCGGGCTCTGGAGAGGCCAATGATGGCTGGGAGACGGTGGGTGCCGCCTGCGCCGGGGATGATGCCAAGCCGCGTTTCCGGCAGGCCGATGGTTGCATTGGACGAGAGGACGCGGAAGTGTGTCGAGAGAGCGAGTTCGAGACCGCCACCGAGGGCGAGGGACGAGATGGCTGATATGGTGGGGATTTGAAGGTTGGAGAGGGTGGTGAATGTGCCGCGGAGATTGGCGAGGAATGCAGCCGTTCTATATAAATGGGCGATGGTGAGCTTCCGCGGCGAGACGAGCCCAAATCTGCGAGCAGCAGCATCGTTTTGTCAAGAAGGAATAAAGATGAGTTTACACGTACTCTTCCTGCGTGAACCCCCTGCGCTCCTTCAAATCCGCGCCGGCGCAGAAACAGGCATCGACGGCGCTGGCCAACACCAAGGCCCTCGTTGGTCCCAGGTTGGCGCTGACGCCGGGACTAGCTACGCCCGTCTCCTCGCCATTGGGACCATACTGCGCATGGACGTCGTCGACTTGTGCGCGGAGAGCGGTCAGGAGGGCCTTGGAGATGGCGTTTCGGGCCTTGGGGCGGTTGAGCTCGAGGACGCGAATGTGGCCAGAGGAAGCAGAGGGGATGTTGGTGACGCGGATGAGAGATTCGGTTTCGGTGGAGTAGAGGCGGCGGATGGATGTCGCGGTCGCGCGAGGGGACGAGAGCGATATGCGAGGAGGCATTTTGAGGGCAGTGCTGGGCGGTTGAAAGCTACAAGGAGAAGGAAAATGGTGACAGAGAGTTTGGAGTTGAGGATGCGGCTCAATTGGTGGAAGTGACGTCGTCGGCTTTCATCGGTACATGGAGCTGGTTTGCAGACCAAAGGCCGAGGGCGCCAGGCCGGGAAAGTGCTCTGCACTCGCCCCGACAATGGCTTGGCAACTGTCATAGAATATTTGCAACAATTTGCTTGTGCTGTGTGTCAAGCTATAGGGGTTTAGCTTACTGTGTCTTCTTCCACTGTTCGGACCCCGGTCTGCTCAAAAATCTTTTTCTCTATAATCAATTAACAATACTAACATTTGCACAAAGGCGCTTGAAAGGTACCTTAGGTATCGGGCGCGAGACGTCCTTAGGGACCATTGCTTGGCTTGTCCAAAGCTAGCTTTTGCTTCATACTTAGTAGATAGGAAAGACTATTTAGTATGTGTCTCTATGAAGAGATAAATAGCGCTGATTCAGTCTGTTGACTAATGAACAACTTAATCCATTTTCGTTCATGATATAGACAACCATCCCGCACAGCCAGCCCATCAACCTCGAATCACTGGCCAAGGCCTAGCTAGCCTAACAACAACCCGATACGCAACGGAGAAAGGTATTACACGCAGCGTGCATAGGACTTTAAAATAGTACCGAGCATAGCATGCTAGTGTTGTGGCGATGAATGCCTAAATCTTGTTTTTTCATTGATCTATCATCATCTAATCCCAAGTACCCAAACTTTTGCTTCCTCTTCTGCACACGCCTTCATGGAGTAGACAACCTCGTTCGTCTCAAGCTTATACCTGCAGATCTAGATGGTAAGACCTAATAATTGAGTCTGTGTCGTCAATAGCCAGGGGGCGAATGTCCGCCATTTGCTTGATCTTGGCAGTCCTGCGCATAGTGTCAATATCGCCCGTGCAGTGAAACAGGGCGGAGAAGAGGGGAGATCCGTACACTTCTTTAACTTGATCATCAGAGAACTCCGAGCCCAGGCCTAGCTGCTCGATACGGGCCTTGACAGCATTCCAGCCTGTAATTCTTGAATTAATGGAGACATAGCGTGTCACTAAAAGTAGACGTTAGCATAGAGGACTCGATAGAAAGGGTGGTGGGCGTGGACGCACTTCCGAAGTCGTGCGGATCGATGATCTCGTAGGTTGATGGGTTAGCAAGAATAGCTGTAAAACAGTTAGCGCTGGAATAGTGGTGACTGCAACTTCCTCATCGTACCCTTAGCATGGATGCCAGCCTTGTGAGTACTGGGTGCAAGTTAGTTAGAACAGAGCCAGGTAACCGTCATTGATCAATGAATAGCTTACAATGCCTATCTCAAGGTTAGCAGGAACAAGATAAGTATGCTTGGACACAGGGGCAAGAAGATAAGGTGAGGTCAGTGATGCAAGGAAAGATGGGCAGAGGAGGTGGCAATGTGCATGAGTGTCGACTGGTGGAGGGGCGGAACGTACGCAGAAGCCCGTCACAGGATTGTTGAACTAGGAACGAGATTAGCTCAACACATCAGAGTTCAGAATGCTCTCCTTGTCCTTACTGGGATATTGACCTGGACAGCATCGGCAACCAGGGTTTCTAAGCTCTTCAATGCCTTGAGATTATACTTCGACTTGACATAGTCCGGTGCTGTTACAACCATCCGGGCCATCAAAGCACCACTTCTCTTAGGATCAGCGGCTGTTCCTCAAGACGGGCCGTTGTCCTACTTACAGCGGAGTGATGCCGTTGCGTTCGCCGATTCCCAACACGCTGGTATCGACGTGCGTGGCCCCAGCTTCGAGCGCGGAGTGTGCATTTGCAACTGCGCAGCCAGTATCGTCGTGAAAATGGGTCTCTAGGGTTAGGGTTAGTCAAGGGTTTCATAAGTTGGGAGCTAGATGATGGCCAAGGTTACCTATGTCGCAGCCCACACAGCCTATACATATGAGTTAGTTACAGGAGTCTGCAGGTGATATCAGAAGACGCGGGAACTCACCTCTCAATGTCCTGATCAAGTCGTAGACCATCCTTGGCGTGGCTCCGCCAACGGTATCAGCGACACCTCTGGGATCCGTTAGCTAACCGAACGCATGCGACACAGTGGAAAAAGATGTCCGTACACTCGGTCGACACCAGCCTTGTCACAGGCTTGGTAGAGGTGTAGGATATCGACGAGGTTGCTCCTGAAGGAGTCCTCACTTGAAAAGCGGACTTCAACACCCTTGCTGAACTTGAACTTAGCTCTCGTTACGGCGGCATGGGTTACCTTCTCGGTGGCTAGCGAACCTCTTCACATAGTCAATGACCTCCAGGGCAATGGATCTTATCATATCCATACTCTTGCCGTGGGAATATTCCCGGAGGAAGCTTGATGTTCCAATAACCTAACATGGCATAAGCAGTTGAGCAACCGAAAGAGGATTAGAGAAGGCTACCAGGTCGACGCCATCCACGCCGCACTCGACTGCCTTCTTCGCATCTTCCATATTACAGCGGACGTGCGTAAGGATCTTGGCCTAGAGATGCATAGTACTTAGTTATATGTCCCACTTTTTGAAAGCGACGACTGTCCCGCTATTAAACTGTAGCCATCCAGCGCGCCGATCGACACTGCAGTTGAGAACGAACCTTGAGACCAAGCTGACAGATGGCCTTGCAGTCATCATAAGAAGCTTGACTAGCTACAGGGCTGGTCAGCTCGATGTAGTCTACACCGAAGTTATCGCTTTACCAACTGTGTTAGTATGTGGTTCATCGTACATTATGATGCTGTTTACTTACAGTGCTTTGGCGATCTTGATCTTAGTGTCGATATCGAAGAAGGCGTTCGCAAACTAGTAGCCGATGTGAATATCGTAGAAAAGAAAAAGGCGTCGGGTCGACGTAGGAATTGAGGATTCGTACGTACCTGCTCTCCTTCTCTCAAAGTGCTCTCTAAGATACAGTGTCAGTCGCTGTGATGCACACGAGGAGGAGGGGAAATTGCTGTACCAATGATCTTGAACCTGCCAACATTTGAGATATAGTCCTGAACAGACTGGTAGGGAGAAGACGCCGGGTTGCCCTGGGCAGGATAGACGCCATTGCTTGTCGATGCTGAGGGAGCAGCATTGTCCGTCGTCGAGTTCGTGGCGGGCGGGGCAGCGCCAGCTGCGTCTCCGTTGCAGGTACCGCACATGATATCGACTGTGTTGGCAAACGCACGCGGGTCTAAGTCGGTGGTGTTATTGTTGGAAAGGGTGTCTTCGGTCCGCTCGAAAGATGCAGCTTGGGCAGGATAAGTAAGTGATGCTGGAGATCTAAAAAGCTGGACGTCCGTGACGTGAGTCAAAAGCGATTCCGCTGTCGGCCAGGTTTTTGCCCATGTACTCGTAGGTGGGGGCACAAAAACCCTACAGATTGAGTTCAATTGGCCAATCTCGTCCCGCATTCGCACAAAGCAGCGTCGATCTAATGAAAAATCGACTGCGGTGTGTTTAATGCCCCCGATCTAATTCGATGCTCCCCAGGCGGCCCACATAAATGTGGGCAGTACAGTGCACATCCCATCGAGCCCGGGACTGTCACCACTTTACGCATTAGCCAATCAATCAGCCAAAAAATGGGCCAGGAATTGAGGTACATGCTTTTCCACCTATTTTTGGCTATGAAAAAGGTACTGAAATTTATCAGAGTTACAAAGAGCTACATTTAAGGGGAGGAATCCTGGCCGGTGTTTTGGTGTCATTACGTGTAGCGATATGTATCCTTGTTAAGGAGGCTCGCACGGCCCACTTACTAGCCAGTGCAGAAAGTGGTGATAGTTCAGGGCTCCTTGTTCATGATGTATCAAGCTAGCAGGGGCCGCGTAAATGCGTGTAAACGGCTTAGATGCCAAGTTTTCAGCCAATTCTGCGCTGGATTTGCCCTCTAAAAGTCAGTCGCTCAATCGTGCTCGCCAAACCAGTGTGCGAGTAAGCTTGCTGATTCTTGTAAAAAAATCATGACCAAGGGGATACCGTCAGGACGGCACAAGAGAAAATCTCCACCATAATTTAGTGGCATAAGTCCCTTTGTCAGTCTGCTCGTCGTTAGTCGCTGCGTCTAGGATCTGGCGTCGCATGTTTATTAGCAACGGCATCCGCCCCTCATGACTGTTGACGCCGGAAGTCGCCCCCCCACCCCACAGCTAGAGTGCCCTGCCCGCTCCACACAGCCCATTCTGCTGGATACGGTAGTGGCTCTAGCCATGCAGCCGAGGTCCGATGATGCGCCGTGGTTTTGATGCGCACGATGCTTCATAACAGTTGGTATTTATTTATTTATTTATTTACTTACTTATTTATTTCTAGGATCAGTGCTAACCGGAAACTAGATAGAGATTGTGATGAGTGCAATGTAAGATTTTAACTTGAACGACCTGAACAGACGATGCATATTTTGAATCCAAGACCTTTTTCCCCAGCACAAAGTTTATTCTTCGCTACCTTGAATCATAGGCATCTATCGAGCTCCTGCCTCGTTCTGTTAATCACTACTCATCTTGACCGCACTCATCCACGTCCATCAAGTCCTCGCATCCTACGCTATCATCGTCACTGTCGATGTCCGTCAACCCTTCATCGCGAAAGTCATCCTCCGTCAAATCGTCCGCATCCTCCTCGTCTTCCAAAGAGCTTAGCTCATCGTCCTCGTGCTCCATGAAGATATCTTGATACCCCTCGTAGTCGGGCTCAGCAAAGTCGGTCTCGATCGAATCGTCCAAGTCATCGCTAAGCCAGTCCTTCTGCCCGTCGTCGGAATCATCATCGCTTTCGCTTACAGGCAGATCCTAATGTCTCAGTCAGCACAGAATTCTTCACATAGCATAGGGCTACTTACTCTTTGTGGACTGGAAGTAGCCAGTGATCGTTGTCTGCGAGATCTTCGCCAGCTTCCCTGGTTGCCATCCTGGCTCTCGGCTCTCGAGAGGCTGAAAGAGGTAGTCAAAAGCATCTAGCACAAGCTTGGTTTTCCGGCAATCAATCAGTGCGAGATGGTTGCGACCACAGAGGTTATGCCCGGGGTGAAGAACTGAGAAGAGAACCTCTAATTTAAGAGGGAATCTTGTGTATCCAGGCGGTTGCTGGATCCTCTGTTGCTGGTAAAGCGGAATAAGAGGGACACAGTTCTCATCGCTTGGAGGAATATCCTGATAGCCTCCCGTGGCAAGGAAAACACGAAGAATTACTAGATCATGCTTTCCAAATCCCTAGTTTAGAAAGATTGTATCGTTTGAGATGTTGCTCTCTTGAAGTTTGCGGGCTACTTCGTGTACATCCATGTTGCTGATGACAGGTCGAGACGATGAGTAAATTCTTGCTGCTGTTTGCCTACTCAAAAACCCTTAAAATGCATGCAAGTGTCTCGAAGAAGATGCTTTGTCTGCTTTTGCTTCATGGCAGAGCTTTCCAGGATGCTTCAGTGTAGTATTGATCAGAATCTGGCCATAGACACGATCAATAATCGAGAACTCAAAGAGTTGATGAGAAGCAACAGAATACTCAGTATCTAGGATCACGAGATCTGATGGGCCGATCGTAGACCATTTCGGATCTGTTCCACAAGGTCCAGGACAATCTGGTATCTGCTGGGATTGGGATAGACCCACTGTCTGCTGGCAGAAATCTCTAATGCGGTCTCGAGAGCTGGAAAGTCCTGGTCGCCTTGCTTCTGCTGCCATTCTTGGCCAAGTTGACCAAGGTGATGCCAACACATAGCGCAGCCAGAGAGCGAATGCGAATTGCAACCCTCAACGCTGCATATTCCATCCTTCGGTACTGGATGGGGCTTAATGTGCGATCCGAGAAGTATTCGTAGAAACGTTGTATGTAATAAGTAAAATATATATTGAAGTACATAATATATAGTTTTAATATTAATTGCTTGTTTTATAAAGTACTCGGCAAGTGATAATTGATTAATGCACAGAGTTATCTGCACTACTTGACATTGTTAAATTAACTCGAGAGGGGGAAAAAATTGATATTGCTCCTCGTTGTACCCCGTACAGATGCGGCTCTTATGGACAGGGGCGTGCGTGCCGTGTACTACTTCGGAGCCGCTCAATGACTTGCGAAACACACAATCAATGTGGCGGCAGGCAGATGCTCGGGAAGTCTATCGAGCGGCAGCATTTAAAGTTGGCAGGCAGGTCCATGGCAACCAACTCTAAGGCTCTGCACCGTTGTAATGCCGAGATGGAGGTCATGAACAAGCAATGCCCAGTGAAGCTTAGCAACAAAGCCCGAGGCCAGGCGCACCCGACGCATTTTCTTGCCTGTTCTTGCCTGCTCGCTTTAACGCTAGACAACCGAAAAGTCTTGGCGTTCCGTTTCCCTTCTCGACCTTAAACCGCTTTGGATGGCCAATCATGCAGCGCCCCCACCGCCTCGCGTTATCGTCGTTGCTGACTGGAGGGTGAACAAGACCTCTACTTTGCTTCTAGTGACCTGAACCATGTTGGCCTTTGGTTATGCTTGACCACTATTTTAACCGGGGTTCGAGAGAGGAGGTCGTCGTGCTCGTTCTGGTTCTCACCGATTCTCACCAATCCCTTGGCGTTGTGGCATCTTGCTCCTCGCACACTTTTTTTTCTCTTGCGCTCCTGAGTTCTTCCTGTCTGGACTTGCGGGTGGGAATGAGACACTCACTTCAGAGCCGGTATATCACCTCGTTTGGGAGGAGGAACTTGACGTCACCACGCCCCGGGCATCACTGGCTGCAACCAGGCCGGACTCCACCGAGGACAAAAACTGGTCTCCAAGGGAATGGGCAACACATGCGCAACCTCTATACCGGCAGCTAGCCATGACGGAGATGTCTTCACTTCTCTCCCCCGTCGCCCCGGCTGTGCCTACAAGCGCCGTCATCAAAGTCACCGACTCGCCCGTGCCCATTCAAGTCTTTACTCACCCCAGCGCCGATGACTATTCCGTCTTTTTCCCCTTCCACGACCTAGCGGCCCTCAACAGCGGGCAGCAGGACCTGTTCTCCTTTAAGCAGCTCATTAAAAATGGTACCGAGGGGCAGGATCTTCTCCTTCTCTTCACTGACGGGTGCGAGGTCGACGGCAAGACGGACTGCTCTAAAGCGTGTAGTAATGTATCTACGTTTTTCGGTTCCCTAGAGACCTTTTACAACTGTATTGCCTTGTCGTCCATCTCGTATTGGACGAGGGAGACGAATCGGTACTACATATCTGAGGAGGCGGAGCGCAATGCCAGTGGCATCATGGGCTCGAGTTCTTTGGCCTCGTTTGATGGAAGGCCGGTCTTGTCTTCGTTTGTGACGTGTGCGCAGGAGGCGTGCGGTGCGGATGGTCTGCATAAGCCGTGTGATGACTCGATTAAGACATTGAGCCATGAGGCGAATGCAACCGCCATCTTCCAGGCCATGGATGACTTTTGTCCAGATCTTCAGGCCGAAATTAACCCGGATATATTTGGGCCTGGTGTAAGTCAACGTCTCCTGTATGATAATATTCCCTATCTGACACATGTAGGTCCTCATCTCATATGTTCTCCAAGTGACCTTTTCCGGAACCCTCTATCTGTTCCTTAAAGCATTCACTCTCTACGTGCGCTACAGCCACAAAAAGCAGGAAACAGAAAAGCGGTTGCAGCGAGCCTCGTCTCGCGGCGGCCTCACCCGCCGCTTGACACGCATCGAGTCCATCATCTGGCGCGACTCGTCGGCGCTGTCTCGCACAAGCATCGCCCTCGCCACCACGCTCGTCGAATTCCAAGAAGCGCAGTGCTGGTTCGTCTTCGCCATCCAAATCGCCTCCATCCTCGCCATTGTCGTCAACTCTCAGGAGGGCACCTTCTGGGGCGAAATCATTGTCAATGCTGCCGTGGCATTTCACGTCAGTCAAAACGGCATACTGCCCATGTTCCTGATACAAATCTGCCTGCACCACGAGGGTATACGCAACTGGCATACGTTTTTGGGCTTCTTTGTCGAATACTTGCTGGCCATTGTCGCGACCAGGCAAAAGGTGTATTTTCGCGACGCCTTCAACTTGTTCAAACAGGAGAACAAAATCGACGCGTGTGGGCAGAATCCCAGTCCGCGGAGTTATTGTGCGTCTACGCAGGGAGTGGAGGGCCTGAGATTGAGCTTCTTCCCGCATCCGTTGCTGTACAAGATGGTTTTTTTGGTGTTGGATACCATTGCGATTGTGATCCTGGTGTTTGACCAGCTGAGTTGGACGCTGAGAACGCACCGGTCTACAAAACACATCACGATAAGGGGCTACCGAGTAGGCAGGGCGCCGAACAGTGGGCGGCTGAAGCTGGCCTGGATTCACTTCAAGCAGTGGGTTTGGCGGATCCTCGAAGTCATGTATCTCGTCATCAATATTCTCTATTTGATTTCGTTGATCAAGGTCATTAGTGCCGACAGCTTCCAGGCGAATAAGTGGTCGTATGGACAGATTATTGCCATGACGGTTTGGGGACCAGTCATTGTCAAGTTGTTTGATTTGGCAGTTTGTAAGTGCCCTTTTTTTTTCGGGTCCCTTTTCCCTATGATGCCGTACAGCCACGTGTGTGACTAACAGGTAAATAACAATGCAGCCGGTCCGCCCAAAAACGGCCAACGACTCAACTCTGGTCCTCCGCGTCTACGAATCGACAATGTTATCAACAGACGCCACGGGACGTCGGCAGACGAGGAGCTCGACGCCGAAGAGGAAGCGTACGGGACTGGGAGAGAGCGGCGGATCCCAGCACCCCCGGAAATAGACTTGCGGCAGCGGTCTCGACCGACAAGGGATGAAGAGGCCGACTTGACGGACGGCATTGGCGATAGTATTGGCGATGATATCAAGAGAGTGGGAAGGTAAGGGTGTACGTTTGTGATATTTTTACGTGACATGACGACGTATGATGACGCCTTATGACTTTACGCATCTGGTAGACTAATTTGGTGCGCCATTTACCATTTAACTGGTTATAAATTATACAGATGTAGATTTCACGACACTTCTAGCGTTGGCAAGTACTAAGATGAGCTGGTTGTTGTACAAAATACACTATGAGCTTGTATTATTCATGTCGAAATCATTTTTATCCTGATCTATTCGCATGCGAGGGGTCGTCGTACTTGGCAGGCTGAAAGTCAAACGACAGGTTCTCCCTGTCCCGTAGAAACGTGTCGACCCTCTCGTCCTTTGTCCTCCCCGCCGACGCCATGGTGTTTTCGCGCATCTTCTGCCCGATGGCCCAGTCCTTCTGCTGCACAAAGTCGACGTACTGCTCGCCGGCGGCTTCGGCGCGGTTCATCTGCGCCAGAGCCCCAATCATGCACATGCAGACTACGAGGGCCGCAAACGTCCCGTTGCTCATGTACATGGGCTCGCTGGGCTTGCCGTCGCGCTCGTTCCGCCACTGCTCCCAGTCCTCCCAGGTGGCGTTGCGCGAGGCATTCCCCGGCTGGTGTCGCCACGCCTTGTCGGCCTCTCGGAGGTCCGGGGCACGGTGGCCGGCCGTCCAGCCGATGCCGTGGTGGTCGTACAGACGACGTTTGTTCGGGTCGCTTAGGAGATTGTTGGCCGCCACGACGAGGTGGTACCTCTCGAGGCGGGTTGCGTGTGGAATCTGCTGCGGGGAGGACGAGGGCAGCGCATCTTTGTCGTGGGTGTCGGGGTGGTATAGCTTCACGAGCTGGTAGAACCGCCGTTTTGTGTACGGCGCGCCGCGCTGCATGCCGAATATCTCGTAGGGGGTTGGGTGTGGCGACCTTGGCCACGGCGGCGGGCTTGGGTCATCGGGTTTCGGAGGCCTCGTTGCGTAGCATCTGGAAGGCTCGAGCATCCAATGCTTCGACGATGAAGGGCGTTTGGAGGGTCGTGCTAGCGGGCATTTTGCGCTGAATCGTCGTGCTGAGGTAGCGGATGACGGGCATGGACTGCACGGTACTGAGCACGTGGATGAGCAGATGGCCGCGGCCGAGTGTTTGAGCATCGTGGGTGCAGACTTCCGTGATTGCGAGGGGCGCGCATAGGAAGAAGAACCGAGTAAATTTTACATTGCTCGTTTCGATTCAGGTTTTGGTGTCGTTGCCGGGGGTAGGCAATCGGCCGGGGCGGCTCGCGATGTTGCGGGAATGGAGGACGAGGTCGATGACGGAGGCTGTCATCAGGTGAGCAAGTTTCCACACTCCGGATGTCGTGGTGCGCAAGTGCAGCCAATACCCGTTTAGTGCGGCGGCAAGGCGGTTGGCGGGAAACCGGCGTGCGGGGGATCCACAGCGGGCCAAAGCGGCTTAATCTCGATTCTTTTCCGAGTTCCGAATGGCATTTTTACAAAATCCACACCAATAATACTCTTCGGCCCTAGGACTTGCTGCTAAAATCGCGCGAAAACAAAGATATTTGATTCGAGTTTGATCCTGATCCTGACTGCGTGTCCGCGGCATGTGCGAAATGGGCCAACAGGTCCGCAAGAGCAAAACTCACTTCGACAGCCTTGCTAGTTGGCGTTTATCACGATGTGTGTGTCGAGTAGTTTTATTCAATATGCAATAGGGAAGCAGGCACTTATTCTGCAGATGCTAGGTTCTGTTTTGTCCCACGTGCTGATTAATAGGGTCAGCCTTCCTCGTAACTCGTAATAGTCAAGAGGAAATTAACCGTCGCAATGTTGCTACTTTAGCTCATATAAGAAATTTCAGCAAGTCGAATTGTAGCGGCAGCCTCACAAGGCCAGTTTTACATATGGGACCATTGCCGAACTGCGCCGTGAGTCTGTAGTAGAAATAATGTAAAAGTAGGTCCGGATTGGGAAGAGTTTGGACTACTGCATCGCATGCTGTCCATGACAATATATGAAGCGTTAGAGATGGCCAGGTTCTCGCCGAGCAACGCCGGCATCGGGCTTGGATCCGGGTCCGGGGATTGGGTCCCACCCGAGATCTCCATGTACTAGTACTCTGGCCAGACGGTGGACGACTGCACGACGATAAACGAGCAGCAGTGCCTCTGCACACCCATCAGGGTGCCGAGCAGATCCACGCACGATCAAAGAGTGACAGCGCCGTCTCCCGAGCCGTCTTGAAGTCCCACTCCGGAGTGGCCCACTATTTAGAGCCCCTGACGGCTCCGGAAAAGTGGAGTATCCATCCATCTGGGATCGCTGCCCCCCGGGGCCGTCGTATCTGGTCGCCATTCCTAATGCGCCCGGAGATATTCGAGCTGCCTGTTGAGGAATGCCATCCAGTCTTTATCCAAAATCCGCAAGATTCAACCGCAAGGACCTATCGATCGACGGTTAGTCGGCAACCTCCATCTGTGCCTACAAGCTTACACATCTACCCTACAGACAACTTTTCAGGAATGACTGGCAAGGTACTGCGCGACCAGATACTAGTGAATATGCGGGCGTCTTATGGTATCAATTGATATATGACTGGCAGATTGACTGATATGGAGCGATGTACGCCTATTGAAATGGCTTTGGCATCGGACATAGTAGGCTTGGTCATGATGAACGTTTAATGCGGGCGAGACAATTAGTCAAGGACATTGGAATGCCGTTTGTCATTTTCCGAACCGCTGGCACGCACCCATGCTTGTTATTGTCCTATTTTATATTTTCTTGTTTTTAAGTAGGTAGTTACAAAATGACAGATTCATCCTACGCAAGACGCCCATTACGCCTCGTCTCCAAAGACCGTGGCTACAGTGCGACTGTATTTGGCAGTTGTCTGCTCTCGTCGATCGCCCGCTCCTTCCTCCGCCAGAAACTCAATCCGCGACGAAAACCATCATCCCCTCACCCTACAAAAGTCATGACTGCATGGTGATGCTGGGGTCCACCCAAGCACCTTCGAAACTCTAGAAGCCAACGTTCCACAGCGAGGGGGACGTGAAACAGTGAACCAGATCAGACCTTCGTCAATGGCGCACCCTAGTCGAAACGCCATGTCGCTACTTTTGCACTCCCGTCTTAGTCCCCCAGCCTATGGGCGTGTCTCGCCGATGCCTCAGACCTCTGGTATCGAATCGCAATTCATTGCCCGCCTACACCATCTTTGCTGCTTCCAGCAGGAATCATCCTTCCATCAGGCGAGCCGAACTTCCCGTGGCCACAAGCCATCACTCTGTTTCTTCTTCCTCCAATAGAACCCCGCATGAGCTGCGAGTCTCTTTCCTTGTTGGGCGCGCAAAGCAGCTACCGGCGTGGGTGGATAATTGGTAGCCAGCCACGACCGTCATGTAGAGAAACGCAATTTCGGGGCAGAGGAAGATGAGGAGAGGGGGAGCTTCTTTGCCTGCTGTTCCCGGTTTATAAAAGGAGCTGGTAGATGGCTGCTGGGACAATGCGCTGACACCTGCTAGCCTCTGGCTTCAGTACTGCTGCTTTATGCGAAGAGACCGCCAAGCGCAAACAGCTACTTGTCGGCGGCACGATAACTACAAAACCAAAATGTCTGCCCCCGTTCAAAACAACGATACTGCCGCCGAGCAGACTTACAAGGAGGGCAATCATAATGGCCATCACTTGCCTCCAACCACCGCCGACGCAGGTCCTGGGGGGAGAGTACCAAAGCCTTACCAGTCCATGGTCTCTCAGGTGTATGATCCTCAATTTTTCAAGATTGCCAATCCTGGACCTCTGGGTCTCATTGCCTTTGCTCTTACTACCTTTGTCCTGGGCCTATACCAGTGCGGTGCTGGGTAAGTCGGATTGTGTCCAAATGCTCAACTGCGTCTCACAAGATGGACCTAACAACTCATCCTCACCAGATTGCCAAACTCCAACCCCCTTGGAAGCGTCGGTCCTGACCAAGCAGTATTCGGTCTGGCTGTCTTCTACGGCGGCACTGCACAGTTCATTGCCGGTATTATGGAATTCCGTGTGGGCAATACCTTTGGTACAACTGTCCACTGCTCCTACGGCGCCTTCTGGCTTGCGTTTGCCATGTTCATGGTCCCTCAGCTCGGTATCAAGCAAGCCTACGGTGGAGATGAGCACGCCTTCAGCTTCGCCGTGGGCATATTCTTGATTCTGTGGTGCTTCCTAACCCTCATCTTTTTCATTGCCGCATTGAGAACAAACATTGCCATTTTGACCGTCTTGGGCCTGCTTGTTCTGGCATTTTTCTTCCTCAGCATTGCTCAGTTCATCTCCACTACCCACACAACGGCGGCGGTTCGTGTCAATCGTGCGGGAGGAGTATTTGCCGTGCTGTGCGCCTTTGCTGCATTCTATGCTGGAAGTGCTGGCCTCATGACACCGGCAACAACTTGGGTCGTGTTCCCTTTGGGCGAGTTCGAACGACCTCCGGCCCAAACGAATCCTGTCTAGGTCGTCGATATTCTGGATTTCATCCCCTACGCGGATCTACTTGTCTGGACTCCCTTGGAATCTACCCGGCGATTGGGTATTTAGGTGCTACGTTGTTTGCCGCCAAGGTGTATTTTTGTTCTTGCACTACTATAATACCCATTGACGTATTTGATTTCTTTCATATCCCACTGGCTTTTGTCGAAATGACTGGGTTTTATTTTTGCGAGGTTCGGCGGGACCAGAGAGACTGAACGCATATAATCAGAATGTCAAATATTTGTGAAAGCTGTCGCTATCCCACTCCAATTGATGCAAGCTACACATGACGCGCAGTCGTCTCTCTATCACGACAAGAAGCACTCGTCCCCTCAGTAGGCTCCAGATTTCAAATTCCTCATCAGAGTTGATTCTTCATTTTCTCCGCCGTCCCTCTCGCCTTGCCCTCTGCTTCTGCCGCAGCACCTTTCGCCTTGCCCTTCAGCTCTTCCGCCTTGCCCTCCATCTCCGCCGCCTTGCCCTTAGTCCCCTGAGCAACCGTCTCTGCCCCTTGCTTAATCTTGCTTCCAGCAGTTGCTACAACCAATCAGTAGTCTGTCGCCACATCAAAAAAGAAAAAAAAAACGTACCGGCAGCTTCCAAACCAGGCAGAACAACGTTATCCGTAACGGTTCTATCCACCGTCTTCAGCCCATCCTTGACCGTCTCCGTCGGATTCTTCCTCATCGCCACAGACGTGCTGAATGCCCGAGGGGCCTGAACCATGATGGTTCGACACATGGGCACGGCGGACCGGACGGCTCGTTCTGCAAGGAAGGACATGTTTGACAGATTTTCCGAAAAAACTTGCAAGTAGTTGAAGTATGTTTGGTAATTTCTAAAATGAAGAGTGGTTATTTTGGTGAAATTGAATCAATTGGGGTCCAGGTAGCCAGAGAGATGTATTAATAACAAAACCAAAAAAATAGAACGTCCATCGTCACTGGGGGCAGGAAAGGTGCATGATGTCATCGACACGACATGTGGCCGCGATCGCGGGGCAAACGCTCCCGTTCGCCGCGTAGCGTCCAACAGCTTGGTTGGGCATGACGCAGGGGCGGCACGATTTCTTGTCTGGGAAACAAACATCGAGATCGGTGTAGACGATTCTGATTTGTGAATGTGACCCTTGCCGTTGCATTTCGTCGCAGCGTTACAAATCGATTGGAGAAAGGTACAGGACGATACTTCAGAGACTAGATGTATTCTGTATGCTTTTTGTTTTGGCATGTTTGGTCAAGGCGCTTCTAAACGACTACTTGCTTGAAACCTGCAGACCAATGGTGACATGTAGTCCTTTAATTCAGCTTGCAGACATCGCGAATTCACGATGGGGGGGCGGAGATGAACACTCGTCATTGCTCTATTCATCGTCATAAATCGGCTCGATTTTGCTATGCTCTGATGCTCATCACTTGGCTCCACCTAGATCGACGGGTTTGTCCATCTCTAGCGATGGCCCCCCTCCCGTTCCACGTCAACAGAACTTCATGGCCGGCTTTGCAACAAATTCCCCAGCTCTATTCCTTGTCCAAACGCACCGCGGGACTGTTTCGCATGAAGTTGAGGTCGACCTTGTGACCTAGCAGCTCACGAATATTTGAGATGCCGTACTTGATCATGGTGGGGCGCTCAAG